CATTCAGCAGACTTTTCGTCATCTGTTTTGGTTCTCCTTTAAAACGTTCCTGATAGTTTTGCTCGCATTTTGTTCCTTACAGAAACGTTCTCGAACATTTTGTTCCGGCTCAAACTACTGTCTTTCCTTTGGTTCTCTTTTGGGAACGTTCTTGACATTGCCGTTTGTTCTCGTGCAGAACTAAACCAATCCATTTTGGGAACTGTTTCGGAGACTATTTCGGGCTAAGTTCGGGTTCGTTTCGGGACTAGTAGGGCCCATTTCGGCACTGGGTCAGCACTATTTCGGAATCATTTTGGAACTAGTACAGAACGCTTTCAGGACTGTTTCAATACTTATTCGAGGTCATCTCAGGACAAGTTCACGACCTTTTCAGAACCACTCCAGAACAATTTTGGGCCTAGTTGACGGTAGTTCGAAACTAGCCGCGAAAAGATTCTGAACTATTCCCGAAGTGGTTATAAAAAAATCGAATGCTTCGGCAAGCCGTACACAGATGTTTAATAATAATAACAGATTGGCGCTTACACATATGTTAGCTTCTCCTCCGATTTGTGGCGTGCGTCTTGATGTTGTCACACAAAGCGAAGGGACCTACAGTTTTAAGCCGACTCGGAACGGCGATTGTATTTTTATGAGAAGCTGTTTTTCATGACAGAAATACACTCGGAGGTTTGCCATTGCCTGCCGGGGACGACCGCTGTTAGGAAAAAACCTTTTTTCTATAGTTTTTGCGATGTTGCACATCAAATTTTTCTTGTACGGTCGCTGCCTTGTCTACTTATCGTTTGAATATCCACATCACTGGAATAACTGGAGCTATTGACTAACCATTGCCAAAAGCTTTCGCTAGAAATTTAGAAAATCGAATAAAATCATCAAAAACCCAGCCCAAAAATATCGTGTAATTCATTAGGGCCAGTAGTGTACGGAATATGCGATGATATATCCGAATACCGATCTTATTTATTGTATGGCACATCCCTAATACTATTTACAGACAAATACATACAGATAGGGTATGTTCAGTGAACTCTTAACTACATAAATTAAGAGCTAATGAAATAAAGAATAACTGAATATCCGTTCCTTTTCGCTATCAGGATATTTGGGTAATATTAGTTCATTTGGTTAACCGAATATTGTTGTGTTTAAACGGATTCGTAAAATTGTTGGCGAAATTTATGAATTTATTGAGTTGAAAAATAAATAATAGAACACTTCATCCTACAAAAGCAGAAAAAAGCTCTCATATATCTCCGAGGGACTTCAGAGCAATCAGTCTCTCCTCTTTCTTATGGAAAACTTTTTAGAGACTTATTGACCTATAAGAAATAAGATTCCTCGAAAACGATTGAGCCTCTCTCAGCATGCCTATCTAAAGGGTAGATCCGAGGAATCTGCCTAGCACACAATTGTTAAAGTCATACAGGATTCTCCTAAGAACAAAGCTTTTGTAGTTATATCGAGGGGCTTTCAATAATGTGTTACCTGGGATAGTAAGAGCCCTGACTAAGCACGGAGTAGTTTACTAGTTAATTAGGCTCATCTCTCGTATGCTGCACGACAACACTCTCACAACGGAATAGGGAAATGCCTCTGACCAACGTAAAGTTAGCAGAGGCACCCCACAAGGAGGTGTCCTTTCACGCTCTCTGTATGGTCGTGATAAACGACGTACTGGAAGAGCTGAAAAGAAGAGGATGCCAGGTTATTGCCTACGCGGATGCTGTGGCACTCATAGTCAGAGGAAAGTTCTTGGACACTCTGTATGATCTTATGCAAGGCTACGTGAACTTGGTCGAAAATTGGGTGCTAGCTGCGGACTTGCTATAAACCCTCGAAAGACGAAGGTCGTACTATGCACCAGAAGGTATAAAGTGTCTCGTGCCCAGCTTCCCTCAATAGAGGGTGTTTCCCTTGTTCTCTTGGGCATTGGAGTTTCGTTGGCAATCTTTGACCTGCTAGTGGAGAGATGGGCTCACAGTCGGCTCAGCGAGCGCTGGGCGAAACCCCTGACATGCAATGTTTTAAGGTCCAAGGGAGCTTCTGCAGCTGGCCAAGCGCCAGCTCTCCATTCCTACAGGTGAACTGACCGGGCATTGTCCTTTAGGAACCCTCGCGATGCCACTTAATACCGTCACGGATCAGTACTGCCGCAGCTGTTTCGAAGACGAGGTGTAATCATCTCAGCACTTCCTTCTTCGCTATACTAAGGTTCAAGTAGCTCGGTGCGCATTTCATCAACAGTCCCTAAAAGCTCTACGGAGTGGAAATCAGCTGCATGCGGAACTTTGTTCTGAGTACCCAGCGCTTCTCTTAGTTCTAACACAGAGTATCTTCAGTCACCGTTCAAAGAGATTGTGTAATGTGGTAACACAATGGACAATCGAATTAATGGCTAAGTGAGTCCCGCCGTGTGGGGTCTGCCACAACAACTTAACCAATTACCAAATACCATTATAAATCCTGCTATTATGTCAAAATTTGTGAATGAGTGAGTGCGTGAGTATGTTTGTTGCTTTTTTAAGCTAAAACCGCTGGATGTATTTGAATAAAATTTGGCACAGAGATAGATTATAACCTGGATTAATGTATAGGATATATTTGAAGAGACTTGGAACCTTTTTAAATCAATTAATTTATAAGCTATGTTAATAAAATATTACAACAATGTGGGTGTCAAACGAAACAATTTATTTCGAAAATATTTTTTAAGGGGTTACCACCTGTTAAAAAATCTAAAATCGATTAATTAATAAATTAAACGAAATACATATTTTATTATTGGTATCAAGTGAGAAGTTTAAGAAAGTTTCATTTAAAAAATATTTTTAAAGGGGCTGCCACCTTTTTGGACATTCAGAAACAATTTTGTGAACAACTTAAATAATATATGTTACTATGGTTGGCAGATGAGGGAGGTTTTAACAAAGCTGTATCTATTTCGAAAATATTTTTGACGAGGGTTGCCACCAACTGAGGAATTTTAAAAACATTTTAATTGACATGTTAAATGAAACCCTATGTGCATGTGAAAAATTTTGACTGAAGTATATTTGTTGCTCTTTCTTTGGATAAAATTTGCATTACGTATAGCCTATGACCGTGATTAACATATGTATGTACATATATGTATGTAGTATAGGTTTTGAAGAGAGCTTAAAAAATTATATATCATCTATTTTAAGTTCAACGAAATTATACAATATGGATGTCAAACAAGCGAGAATAAAAATAAAATTTATAGCGAAACAGGATTGCCACCTATTTTAAAAGTTAAATTCCATTTTATTATTAAGTTAAATGAAGGGTTACAAGTGCTTTATTTTGAAGAGGCCGGCCGCCGGTTTTAAAGACAAATCCTATTTTTCCATAAGCTAGCTAAAGCTTTGTTTCGAGATTTCGTTTCTTAAGAGCGTTGCCACCTTTTTATAGTTTTAAATCAAATTTAGTCAATAAGTAAAATTAAACATTACGAGTAAAAAAAGAAGTTAAATAGGCCTTTTCGAAAATATTTTTAGAAGGTGATGCCACCCCCATAAAAGACTAATTCAATTTATTCAGCTACTTCAATGACATATTTGGGTATGATGTCATAGGAAAGAAAGTGAAAAAGGCTTTATTTCGAAAGTATTTTGAAGAAGGTTGACACCTCTTTAAAATTAAATTAAAATTTTTAAAAATAAATGGACTTATTTTTAATCTTAAAAATCAAAAACTTTTTTCCGGAAAATGGAAAAAAAGAAACTTTCAAACTCGCGCTTCATCGCGAAGTCCAATAAAAAAAAAGATGAGATTATTTTTTTTTTTTTAATTTAGATATTTTAGAACTGTTTTTATTACGGCGGGTCTTTTTTTTAATGTTATCACCATGCGAGTAGGGCACAGGAGTAGTCTACTTGAAATTCTAATCAAATTTGGCGAAGAAATTATGGCTCTAAAACCAACATAAGTCCAGTAATGAATTCCTTATAAAAAACACACATTAAAACATGTTTTAATTTTTTATAATTTTTCAACGCTTCTTTACGACATGATAGCAAATTTCAACGTTGCTAGGAAAAAACTATTTTCGCAATTCGTCAAGCCCGAAATTGAATTAATTTCGACCCACGGTTTATTCGGAAAATTCACTTTTTTTTTTCTTTTTTTTTACATACATAGTCGAAGAAAATCTTCCAAACAAATTGCCCCGCACTAATGTACAATGACTACCAACAAAAAATTTAATTGGTAATTACTCAAAACTCACTCGCCCTTGTTGTTGTTGGAATTTTCGGTATTCGAATACTTTTGGTCCGTTGAATGGTTGCTTCATAGTAGTAAGTGTAGAGTAGGAGAATTTGCTGTTGTTTTTTGGCTGTTGTTGCCTCTGTCAGTGTGGCGGCGATATGGTATAAATGCGATTCACAATTAAACAATGTTACCAACAATTTATTACCAATAATTTTACCCAATGTGTGTGTGCTTGCGGCAGCCTTTCTTCTCGTAAATTCAACTCAACAAAAAATTTAGTAAGAACACAATTTATAACAAATATTAAAAATCAATTTTGGTTTTCTTTTTTTTTCAAATTTTTAACACAACTCCAGAAGTGTAGTAAACATTTTTGGTTTTTCAAGAAAAAAATTTTGATTTTTCGCCAAAAACAACAATTTTTCAACAAAAACGATTTAGTTCACAAAGTGAATAAAACAATAACAATAACGTGCAGGATACAACGATAAATAGAATATTTTAAACATTCATTATTTTAATCATTCATGGGCCCAGACGACGGTTGCCTACAACTCGCAGAGCGGTTGAGCATTGGGCAGTTGTTTGATGGTCGAGGCATAGAGGCGGGTGGGTTGCGTTCCTTCTTTTGCGCTCTCCATTTCCTGTCGCTTCGGATATGTACAACAAAGTTCACGCTCGCCAGCGTTGCGTCGCCAGAAGCGCTGAAACTACTTCTAACGCCGCCATATCAGCCAAAAAATGTTAGTTACAATCCAATTAGTTGATTTTTTTGAAATCTCAGTTAATTTTGAATTTAAATTGTTATTTTTTGGTAAAGATGTACGTGCGCGCGCAGTTTGATAAGTTCACCGAATAAAATGTTCAATTTTGTTTTAAAAATTCCCCCAATTTTGCACTTTCCCAAAGAATTTTCATAAAAATTTTAATTTTCCAAACACATTTTTGTTTTATTTTCATTTTCTTAATTTGGTGTTTTTTGTTTTTGTGATTTTGTGTGTGTTGTTAAAGGCGAACTTTCGGCATAACGGCCGACGCGCACGACAAAGTAATTGTTTTGCTTGCGTTTTCAATGAGAAACTAAACTATTGTAAAATGCCGTGCTGCGTTCTGACTGCCACTGCCAGCAGGCATTCTAGCACGCGGACAGACAGATATGCAGTCATGCAATGTAGGGTTGTTGGATGAGCGCGAGAGAAGTAGGAAGGACGCAAGGCAGCCACTAGGAGGTAGTATTTATTCTCTTTACTTATTTCATTTTTGCTGTTGATGTTGTTTTTGTTTTAGAGTCTGCAACTGCACGAGACAGGATGCATGGTAGCGGTGTGAGAGCGCTGACGAAAGTGGGAGCGAGTGTACGGGTATGTAGGTACATTAGGGTGCATCATAAAAAAAATGCGTTTTTTCCATCGGTTTTAAAAAAAAAAATTTATATTTTAAGATTTCCGCCAAAATATTTCGGAACCGTTTTAAGTTTTCGTTTGAAAATACCTCCAAAAATGTCATTATTTTGATTTGCTTGATACAATTTTTAAAAATTTGTATGCGGACCTTTTAAGCTTAAACTTTTTTATCAACTGATATGATTTAAAAAAAAAATATTCTTAACTGATATGATTTAAAAAAGAAATATATTTTTAACTGATATGATTTAAAAAAAAATATTTTTTAACTAATTTTATTTATTAAAAATTCGACTTTTGGAGCCATTTTCAAATAGGTGCAGCTCACGTACATATTCATATTTTTCCGAAATATTTTTGCACAAGTCTTAAAATATAATACGTTTTATATTTCCGACAAAAAACTGTAACCATTTTTTCATGATGAGTGATGCACCCTAATGTATATATAAATACCGGTGAGTAGCACGATGCAGCAAATATTCTATCATTCTTGGGTGTGTAGTGAGCGGAAGGAAGCCTGTGTAAAGCCGAAGCGTCAAAAGAAAAATAAAATTTGCAGTCAACGAAAAGAAATCCGTATGAAAATTGGTAGAAACCAAAGGCGATACAGCCGAATAACAAAGTGCGCCCATGCAATGCCAAAGGTAAAATGTGAAGTCAATTGTTGAATATACATTTGTAAGCTGTATATGAAAAATCTATTATCAAACTGGCTTCAGACTGCTGAGCATAACAAACACATGGCATTAGACTTGTTTTCCGGCTTGCCACGATTTCTTAAAATTTTCTATTACATATATTAGCAAAGGAAACTAAGCAATACATTTTAAAGCAGACAGCTACTGTTTTCTAAAAAAGTGTCATAATTTTTGTATAAATTTTGTATAGTGTCTTTGAATTGATCATACGTGCTACATACTAAAATGCAATTATCGTCCTACCAAGGACTGTACCATCAGCTGACTATAGCCTTTTACCCGAGATCAGATTATAATAATATTTAGTAAAGAGAGTAGGTATCGAATCACGACATCCGTGATCGATTGAAACTCGATTCGAATCGAATAAAAGTAATTGATAGTTGATGCCGTGCTTCGGGGCCCGGTTATCTAGTTACCGCGACCAACCTCTATTTGCCAGTAGATCTTCTTTGTTCCACGCGGAACTTCGCAAAATACCTTGTCAGAGTATGGTGATCCTAAGATTCGAGGTCTGCGCCTAGTAAGGTGTTCACAATGACACAAAATACGCTCTGCCGCTTCCTGTTCTTCGTGACACAATCAGCACTGGTCAGAGTAAAAAACTTTCAAGTTTACTAAGAGTTTAATAAGCATACAGTGGCCAGCAAGAGGGTCTGTACCAATTCTTAATTCAGTGACTATTTAGATGAACGAGCGCTTCAGGTGGCCTTTATAATAGATATTTCCGAGATTAAGAACTTAGCTTGTCTGAGTTCTGAGCCCATGAGTCTCTGCTCCTCATGAGGTTAATTCCGTTCCTGGATATGCCGGTTATTGAAAGTTAAAGGCAGCCTCTCTTACCTGCTTGCGAGGTGACTTCATTTAGTTGCCAGAGTGTATATAGATGTTATGTTTTATGGTCCTTCTGTACTTAGGTACTTAGTTTAACGGCATGCTTGCTCTTCAGCCATATGCAGATGAAAAGAAGCTTCTTCCGACGCCTTGTGCACACTTGGAGCCATCAGTAAACTAAATGTGGCTATTCTTAAACAAATTTATGGAGTTTCTTGTTTCAGTTGGTTCAGTAAGGGAAAAAGGCTCTGAAGTTAAACCTCGAAAGGCACATATCTACAAAGCTAACGCATAGTCCTCTCTTTTGTTTTATAATCCTTAGAGTGGATCAGTGTTTAAGTTTTTTATCTTTCACATTGCCCCTGAAAATGAGCTTTTCAAAGTAGACAAATCTAGAAGCGCGGTTGGTGTCGTTCTCATCACACCAGTGGCAACGCATTAGTGTTTGCTCCGCTTGGCCTGTGTGGACTTCATTTCTGGTTGCATTACATTTCGATCTGATGATCTAGTGCCTTTCCATTACCTTTTGACATTTTCATAAAGGCTTTTTTGAATAGCTTTATCTTGGAAGAAATTCTCTGAAAACTCGAAGATATTGGACATCTTTAGAGAAGTGTATATTTTCTCTAAAAAAGAATTTAAGCCTTTTTCTTTTTCTGGAAAAAGTTACTTTGTTAGTCTTAGGATTTACGTTTAATCAATTCTTCCTGCACTGTTTGGCGACTGTCTTAAGCACATTCTATTTGAGATGGGAACTTGTGTCTTCAAACGTAAATTTTCTCTGATTGGAAGGACATTGCCATCCGCTTGGCACTGAACAGTGAAACCCTTTTCACTAAGAAGGCAGTGTGGTTCATCTACAACGATGAGTCATGGGCTATCTTCACAGATAGGAATCTGATCCTTTCCTATCCTTTGTAGAGTGGATATACTGATTCTAAATTTAAGGACACTTGCCATCCAGTGGTATGTTGTAACGTCAATCCTCTTTCCATCGCAGGCAATTTTCTATGCAAGAGTCTTAATTTTTTTCTCCAAGGACTTTTAAATTTTTCTTGCAGAGGGTGGGCGGCCGATTTTCATGATTTTTACGCAAAGAACACTATTTGTGATATGTGTGTATACGAGTCTTTCCATGGTTTTAGATGAAAGCTCGCTTTTACTTTGATTCGTCGGCTTGGGGATGTAGCGGTAGGGATGCCCACCTAAATCAAGATGAAGTAGTTCCGTATCAACTTGAAGTGGAAATTTCGAATAAAATAAACTTCTTCATACCGATGGTCTTCTGCAACAACGACACAATTGAAAATTCAAAAAATAAAAACCCTTACTACTGTTAAGTGGCTCATGTTTCTAATACTTGTCTAATCCAGGTACACTCCTTACTAGAGCAAGTAATAAGGATTACTAAAGTAAGTAAGTAAGGAATAGATACGAATTAAACAAGGATTGCAGACATGAGCCGATTGGCTCAGTAGTAAGGGTTTTTACTTTTTAAATTTTGAATTGTGTCGCTATTGCAGAGGACCATCGATATATGAAAAATTCGGCATTTTTGCGATAAAAAACGCCAATCATAGTAAATAAACGATTTTATTTGCAACAATTTTATTGAATACATGATCACATTAAGTTGCGACATCAAAATCATTAAAAAGTTTTTGAGTTAGCCAAACTTTTCGCTATCATCTGTGAAGCTTCTGTTGCCTATGATCTTTTGATATCACAGCAAGAGGTCGAGTCAAGATATTTCGCGTTCTAGCCTAATTTTCTTTCTCTTTAACTGTTTCTCAATGTACATATGTATGTGCGACTACCTAAATGCACCACTGTGTATTACATAGGTATACTAAGAGGTATCATCGACTCCTTTGATCTCTACCTACAGAGACAGATAAAATAAAATAAAAAAAAAACCATGTAGCAAGAAACAGAGAGCGGAGAGTAAGGGAGTTGCGCTCGAAAGTGTTGGAATGCGGTGTGGCAACCAGAAAATAATCGATCGTATTACTATAGGGTATATCAGCTCTACCAAATAATAACAACACTAGAATATGCGTGTGTATGAATGTATTTGAAATGTCTGAGAAATAGTGTGAAGAGATAACTGAAGAGAATTAACAGTACAGTAAACTGAAGTTAAATTGGTGGTAATAAATGAGTAGAAACCCCTACTAACTCATCAAATAATACTGACAACAAAACAATTGAATCACGCATAAAATAATAATTGATCAGAAATCAGTTAAGATGAGCTAAGGATGGAATATACATACTTCTTCTTCTTCTTCTTATTTGGCACTGTAACCGCCTAGGCGATTTTGGCCGAGTTCAAAAAAGCACGCCAGTCGTTTCTCTTCTGTGCCAGCTGACGCCAATTGGAAATGCCAAGTGAAACCAAGTCCTTCTCCACCTGATCTTTCCACCGCAGTAGCGTCCTCTCTCTTCCTCTGCTACCACCAGCGAGTTCCGAGTTGAATACTTTCAGAGCTGGAGCGTCGGTGTCCATTCGAACGACATGGCCAAGCCAGCGGAGCCGCTGTATTTTAATTCGCTGCACTATGTCCATGTCGTTCCAAAGCTCATACAGTTCATCGTCTGCGGTACTCGCCGTTGCCGTCGAACACTCCTAGAGCCGCCTCATCGGATGTTGTCATTGTCCAAAAGTAGCACTTGTTGGCAAGAGTGATTCTGAGTTGGATTTCCATGCTGACATTATTATCGGTGTTAATGCTGGTTCCCAAGTAAACGAAATTCTCTACTTTCTCGAAATTGTAACTGTCAACAGTGACGTGGGTGCCAAGGCGCGAATGTGCTGACTGTTTGTTTGATGATAGGAGATACTTCGTCTTGTCTTCGTTTACCACCAGACCCATTCGCTTTGCTTCCTTATCCAACTTGGAAACGGTAGAACAAAGCATAAGCTCTGTGCACGCTCTTGTAGTAAATTGTCCCTGAGCGGTTCAGTTCTGCAGCTCTTATTATCTTCTCCAACATCAGATTAAAGAAGTCGCCCTGTCTGAAACCCCGTTTTGTGGCGAACGGCTCGGAGAGGTCTTTCCCAATTCTGACGGAGCTGGTGGTATTGCTCAACGTCATTTTACACAGCCATATGAGTTTTGAGGGATGCCAAATTCAGACAAAGCGGCATATAGGCAACTGCTTCTAGTGCTGTCAAAAGCGGCTTTAAAGTCGACAAATAGGTGGTGAGTGTCGATCATTTTCACGCGGGTCTTTTTCAAGATTTGGCGTATTGTGAATACCTGGTCTATGGAGGATTTGACAGGTCTAAAGCCACACTGATAAGGCCCAATCAGTTCATTGACGGTGGGCTTCAGTCTTTCACACAATACGCTCGATAAGACCTTGTAACCTTTCTTGTGGATTGGGCAAAGCACACTAAAATTCCAGTCGTCGGGCATGCGTTCATCTGACCATATTCTGACCAAGAGTTGATGCATGCACCTTATCAACTCCTCGCCACCGTACTTGAATAGCTTAGCTGGCAGGCTGTCAGCTCCAGCGGCTTTGTTGTTTTTCAGCCGCGTTATTGCTATACGTACCTCGTCATAGTCAGGCGGTGGAACGTCGACTCCGTCATCATCGACTGCCGGCTCGGGTTCTTCTTCTTCGCAACTTTCCGTGCTGCTACCATTTAGTAGGGCGGAAAAGTGTTCCCTCCATAATTTAAGTACGCTCTGGACATCAGTTACTAGGTCTCTGGTAAAATTTTCGGGCATTCTTCCTGTCGGCTAGCATTTCAAGCTCTTCACACTCACGTATTTCGGCGTCGGGGCATGGGCGCAGATGAGCGAGTTGTTGAAGAGTCTCGCTTTGATGCGGATTGTGGCGACGGAGTCTCTCTCCCACCACAAATCCAACTCCGAATTTGCGCCCTTTACATGGCAGCTGTAGTAGACGTCGCAAGGTCCCAGACATTGCTTACCTTACATCGTCCAACGCATTTCTTGGATGGCGGTGATGTCAGCTTTTGTCCTTATAGCACCTCAACCAGCCGGGCAGAGGCACCTTCCTCATTAAGGGTCCGGACATTCCAGGTGCATGCCCTCAAATCGTGGTCCTTTAAACGTTTGCCGTGGTCGTCATCAATA